CACGCCAAAAAAATCACGCATAAAAAAACACGCCTAGAAAATCACGCTTAAAATGGAAAAGAATCACGCGTAAAAAAATGTGTACCCAGATAGTAAGTATTTTAGGTATGCTTCATAGACGGCGCCCAGTGTGTTCTCTCGTAAGTAAAACGCCTCGATGCGTTTGCGTTCGCAAGTATATAGCGTTAAGTGCGCCACTTCACGAGGCGCATGCCCCGGGTGGCCCTTGAAAGTGAATGGCCGCGCAGCACTCAACCGCGTGACACGTCTCTTGCGCGTTCACGCAACAATGGCGGCCGGTATTAGCGGCGAGATGTTTCGGTGGCGCCCTCGTTTGGTCACCTTTCGTGACGTCATTACCTCGTGAACAGCAAGTTCGATGGTGTTTGTAATGGCATGGTGAAAGCATGAAGTCATAGCGCTCTCAAATCAACACTGCCAACACCGTCAAAGTTGAAGTTCTTACATTCCTCTTATTTGCGTCGCTGAGACATCCTTTGCTGACGTCATGGTCAGCATTCGGCCAATTGTGGTGGGCCGACCACAGCGACGCTTTCGATCGCTCACGTCGCCAATACTTGTAAGAAACACCAAGCGTGAATTTTATCTAGGGGCTTTAAGGCTGGTTCACACTGCCCCATTGTCTAACGTTAAGTTGCGTTACGCAATATTACGTTGAAGTCATCGCGATTTCTGTACTTCATATTAAGCGAGGCTACCAGTTCAAGGAGAAAGCATGACGCTTGACATTGGAGACACGAATACTTCGACGACTACGGGTATTCACACGAGGGAGAAATCCCGGGGATTTCTCCACGGCACGCGCATCCTGCGACGAAAACGCCAGGCTTTGCGATGTGCAAAAGCCTCGCGTTTTCGTCTCGTGATGCGCGCGCTCCGGGGAGAAATCCCCGGGATTTCTCTCTCAGTGTGAATACCCCAACGCGACTTAACGTAGGAAAATGGGGCAGTGTGAATGAGCCTTTAGTCGTAAGCAGACACGAGCCATTGCGATGCATTTGGTCACACTCAGAAGCATATAGGCGTGAGCTATAGAATCGACGTGAAACGGACTACAGCAGTAGGCACGTGACTTTCGAAGGCGGGGGCTCTGAATACACGCGAACTGTGGAGCTTCCAAAGTGCCGCGTAAACGAAAGCCCCGGCTCATAAACAGGAGTTACAGAGAGGAAGTGAAAGAATATTCTCCCCTCAAGCGCGACCGCAAGCAGCGGACCTTATCGAAAGAGAGAGCCCCGCTCGACCCGGGAGATTTACGGAAGGTGGGGCAGAAAGAGTTACGACGCACTTCCGGTTATTACACGTCACACGAAAGTATGAAGCAGTGCCCAGAAGAGCCGCTAAACCGCCTTCCGACCGGGACTGGCCTCGCCATTGATACACGGTCCTCCCGGGAAGCACTAATTCAAAAGCCCTGGAATCTTTTGTCTCGTTCTCGCCTTTTTGTTTTTTACCGCGTGTTTGTAAGTTAGGCAATGCGGACTTGTAGGCGTTCCTGAGTGCGTTCATGCATATCCGTTCGTGTTCTATGATTCCCGTTTTTGCTTCGATTCTGTTTTATGATTTCTTTGTTTTGAGATGTTTTCTATTAAAGATAGTATTGCAGCCAACAGCATCTGCAGAATAGGTTTAGCCATTTAATTCCAGGAGAAAAATACTATGCTCAATAAAAACGTGGCACTTTTTTTTTGTAACGCCAAAACATGACGTTACAAAAAAAGACAAAAAAAAAACATGACGTTACAAAAAACATGTTGCACCACGCCATTCTCGTTTTCGTAACCACGTAAACGATTCCTTGAAAATTTACATTATACGGGAAGTATTTCCTGGGCCCGTTTGCTCGAAGCGCTAACCGCGGCTAAAGTTAGCCGCAGTACCTAGCAGAGGGATTTTGATATCACGTGACAGGCTCGGTAGGGATGCGGGGAAACATGGCGGTGCCCCAGTGAGTGAGCGCCGGTCGCTTTGGAACTAATATGTCGGTGTAGCTGCAATATCGGGCGCGTTAGTCAGCAACGAATAAGGCAGGAGGCTTTCGCTTTTCCTTACATCACTTAAACCGCAAAGCATGGGCAATGACATCGCTGCATTATTTAGAAAGTGTTTCGATTCTGGGCATTCCTAAGCCTAAATGGACGCGATAATTGTCGGCATGGCAACGTCTTTGGAAAGCGAATTGTTGATAGCACACAAAAGCAGAAAGCGTCCCGACAGAACTTTTTTCGAAATTATCCAAGCATCGCGAGGAGAACGCTGGAAGTGTAATTCTACAGTTCACGCGCGCTGGCCTTCCTTTTATAAAAGATTTGAAGTAAAATATCATAATAAAGCTTTAACGAACGCGCGTGCAAGGCAAAATTTGTTTTATACTTTTTGCTTTAGAACGGTTACTACTGCAGACGCCAGCACGTGCGACGCATGCAACTACAGTCGTAGCATGCACCTCGGTGCTTGGATAATTTAGAAAAAAAGGTCTGTTGGGACGCCGTCTGCTTTTGTGTGCTATCAACAATCCGCTTTCCAAAGACGTTGCTATGCCGACAATTATCGCGTTCATTTAGGCTTAGGGGTGCCCAGAATCGAAACACTATCTAAAAAATGCGGCGATGTCATTGCCCATGCTTTGCGGTTTAAGTGGGGTAAGGCAAAGCGAAAGCCTCCTGCACCATTCGTTGCTGACTAACGCGTCCGATATTGCAACGACAACGACATATTAGTTCCAAAGCGAGCGGCGCTGTAGGGCACCGCCATGTTTCCCCGCATCCCTACCGAGCCCAGTCACGTGATCTCAAAATCCCTCTCCTAGGTACTGCGGCTAACTTTAGCCGCGGTTAGCCGCGGTTAGTGGTTCGAGGAAACTGTCCCTGGCGGTCATTGCTGAGTCCGTGGCTGCTAAGCCCGAACTGACGGCGAGCTTCCACGCTGGTTTTGGAAAGTATACACTTCCATATATACAGTCAAGGTTGCAGGTCTTGGTATACCTATGACTGTGAGCATAGCCTCCTCTACACTGACAAAGCCTGGCAGATCGTCACGTGACGCGATCGCCGAAAGTGAAAAGGCAGAGCGGCAGACACAAGAGTCATGTAACGGGCGCCCCGCTGCGGCGAGACGCCGAAACACATTTGTCCCGAGCGATGGAATGTCCGCTCCCGCTTCTCGCAGAGAGTTCTTACAATAAACGCTAGAGGCTCAGCTGGCGCTAGTGTCTACGGGACTTCCGGTTGTAAATTGAAGCAGAAAGCATGCAGTCTACTTTTCCAGTCTTCCTGTGTATTCTTATTGGAAAACGTAACGTTCTATTTTTTCTTCCCCAGGGATTAACAGAAATCAGAGTAGTTTCTATACTCGGAACGGGTACTATGTAGTTTTATTCAAATTAATAAAGTGTAATTAATTTATTTAATGTCTTTTTTTTATTACTGAGCGATGTTTATGTTAGCAAAAATTGAGGCCCAGATCTATGTTGTACAGCATTACATGTCAATAAAAACTATAAATTCAAGCAAAAAGAACAACAATCGTATTTATTTCAAAACAACAACACCCGCTTACTGATTTATTTTTATTATTCTTGCAAAATTTGTCACTAATTTAGTAAGTGTTCTTCGTTTCATAACTCAATGCTTCATTCTTGTCGTCTGTTATGATTGTTTGATTTTGCATATATTAGCATCCTTTTGGTGTTTTGTCAAGCTGATTAACTCTGTGTGCTCCATAGCATTGAGTGTATGAGTAAATACGTGACCTATAATAGCAGTCTGCAACGTCAGCACGTATTATACATATGTATTGGGCTATTTTAGGGCACTGTTCGACGCCTGAATTCTAAAGAAAAAACGCTCTAACTGACGCATACTTTTGTACATCCGATTTCAAAACGTTCCAAACTTTTTATTCTGTCACAACACTAAGCAATATTTGCTCTTATAATCGATCGCTAAGAGAAAGCGCATTTGCGTTTTCCCATAGGAATGCATTACCGGAAGTCGAACTTAAGACTGCTTGCTGTCTGCTTCAAAATGCAACGGCAGACTAGCGCCACCTGAACCTCTAGCGTTTATTGTAATAACTCTATGGCTACTCACTTTCCTCGGTCTACCGCTTCTTTTCTCGTCTGGTTCGAAAACCATGTTTCGGGTCCTCGCCGCTGCAAAAGCTGTGCGCTGAATTCCAGACTCCCCGAGGTATGCTCCGTGCTACCAGATCCTCGCGCTCCAAATCTGCGACCGGGCAGTCTATGGCTCCGTCATCGAACTGCCAGGCTTTTTGAGTATAGAGGAGGCTATGGTGTGAGCTTATTCTGAGCACGAGCGGTAAAGAGCGCACTCAAATATGGTGTCTGTTAAACGACCCGACACTCCATGGAAGTGTCGGGTCGTTGGGGTTCAGCACCCGCTACTGATGACTTTCTAGAAGAGAGCCACTGAATTAGCACGTTTTCATGCACAGGCACAGCCTTGCTGTTTGCGCGATCACCTTTCCCCTCAGATGGTAGAGGTTGTAAAAACTTACAGAAACCTAAATCGATTGAAGCAAAATTTGTCGTACGGTAGTTTGGAAGACAAAAGATGTTTCTGCCTTAAAATGAGTCCGGTGTCTCCGCTTCGTATGCTGTAGGGCTGCTACCCCAACTTGCCAACATTTGTTTTCAACTTCGCAGCAATCTGAGCTAAATATCAGTAAACAAATGTTTGTCTTTTCTTGCTTTTGCAGTCAATACACTTTTAAACGCATGCTGCAGTGTTAGCCTCTCCAAAGGGATCTTGTAATCTTGTAGCCAATTGAGCGTAATCCAAGTCCAAAGATTCTATAGAGGTTGCCCGTTTTGCACTCGCGCTGGCCAAACTGATTCTAAGCAAAATATAAACGCTCCCACATTGAAACTCTGCATGGGACTAGCGTCGTCGAGGACGCTGTCGATTTACGCGAAGTCGACGCGCGCATGCCCAACAATGAAAACATTCGAAACTTACATTCGTCCTGCATTTCGACCTTGAGGTACAGCGGGTCACCGAGGTCCACACCTGCGACTTCGTCTCCGGTTCCATTGACGACCTTCAGGCGAACTGGAGGCGTGGGCGCTAGTCCCGTGATGACCTGGGTCAAGCTCTGGAGGTCACTGCAATCAAGTAGGAAAAAAACAACAAGGAGATGAGTTTAGGCTGAGCAGTAAAAAAGAACACTAGTCGTGGAATTTAAATAGCATTTGACGAATGATTGACGTGACTTAATGAACTCGTCTACAGTCGGCGACAGGCTAAAAACAGAAAGAGTTAATGCGCTGCCTCGGGCACGAGGCTTCTGCTTTTGACAGCACTTGGGAAGCACGCGCAGCCCAAGCCTGATAACGGGCAACGAGCGCATCCTGGAGGCGGAACATCTTCTGGGCCCTTGAGTCTTGACCATGTCAGGCCTATGATCCTTATTTTTGTTCCGGCTTCTGTTCTGGTACCTTCTGTCTCGTTTCTGCCTTTTCTCACTCTTGCATCTTAAAGCCGAAATCACACTGGTTACACATCAGACACTGTAGGCATGATGACAACATCATCTGCGGACGCTTCTCGAGCATTTACGACTTTTTATGTAAGCTTCTGCCGCTCGCGTAAGGCACGCATTTCACGGAGTGTGTGAGATAGGATGGGGGAACTAATTTTTTCTCACAACCGAGCACACAAAAACCGAACGAAGAATACGACCGCTTTCACGACAGATAAAGCATATCTGCTGCGACCACGGGCCTCTGTCAGTCGTCGGATGACCGCGCTCCAATTCTAATTCTAACTAATTCTTTCTCACTCCACAGCGCCCTCACCTGCGTGCTTGCAGATCGCGACACACTGACGGCCGCCGGACGGCGCACCTCCCCATTCTAGTACAGCCCACTCTTGGGTTCTGCAGATCGAGCTGACACTCCGCTTGCTCCGAGCTGGAGTGCGCTAGACTATGCGCTTGACCATTCGGCCACGGATCCCCCTTTTGATTCGTGGACACGTATGTTTCAAAAACGTCTGCAGACTGTTTTTTTTTTTGTAAAATGTTTTAGGCCGTGGGACCGCGGCTTAATTGTACGAGTTCAATGTCAGCCTTGTGGCATGTTGTCTTTGTTTTTTGTTTTTTTTATCAGACGGAAAACTTTTGTTTTATCCTATAATCACTTTAGTTTGTGTCGCTTTTTTTTTCTGCTTCTTTTCAATACACATGTTTTTCCTCTCGTTCTCTCTTTGTCCCACAAATATTTGATATATTCGCTTCACTCGTGTAAGACAGGATGAATACACTTTTCTACGCAGCATTCTGACAGAGATATGTGTAAGCAGCTTGTCCCGCGAGAAGTGTGCATTTACTTTTCCGACTAGACGATTTTTTTTGTTGTTTTTTTTTCACGTACCACTAGATTTTAGATAGTAAAAACGTTACGCTTCATTTCCTGCACTTCGATAAGGTTCTCACTAACCGCGCTGCGGCGCACGGCATTTAATCGCTCAAAGATGGCGCCAAAAAACCCTCCCCGATCGTTGGGTGAAAATAATGACGGTGGACACGAATTATGCGCGACACGAAAAAGAAGGAGCGCCAGGCGAGCCGGCCGAACACAAAGAATGAACGAGACGGTATTCAAAGAGCGAAAGTGATCCGACGACACGAAAGACAAGAACGGCATAATCGCCGCAAATAACGGCATCATCATCGTGTAGTAGACGCGGCAATTACAAGCTGAACGCGGTGCCCTTCTGCAAACCAAACCAACCAAACAAGCATAAAGAAGACGAAGAAGAAAGAAAAGCGTTATAAGAAATCCTCTTACGTCTTTATAGCTGCACAAGAAGAGGCGGCCTTAGTTTATGGCCAGGCGGCCGGGGCGGACGAGAGATGAAAAAAGGTCTGGGCAAATAGCCGACCGGCTTCTCGGGATGTCATATTTGTATCCGGTACAACAGTGTGTGCGTGTGCATACGATAGGATTACAGGCTGCATGCACGCTTCGCCCTTTATTGCCCACGTCGACCGCATTCCGTTGGACCTCACGACGGACCGTTGAGAGCGCTACCATACAACCACTGCAGTCATTCGAATGACGTGGGACCGAGACGCGTCCGTCGGGAGAGCTTGTACCAACGCGCAAGTCGCGTCGTCACGTGGTAGGCTTCGCAGCACCTGATTGGCCGGGAAGGCTTCTAGCGTCCACTGCGCTCCATCATTAGGTGAGAAACGGGGGATAGTAATGTACGGGTGAGGCTGGGTGGCGGCCTCCGCGATGTCCCGAAGCGTGCGGGCGGGCGCGCGCAGGCACTCCCGGCACTCGGCAAGGGTCTGTCATTATCCTCGCAACCTTGCCCTACGCCGCCGTGGCCCAGCGTGTCGGGCGGGACGCTGCTGCCGACCATTTGGAGATTCGGAGAAGCTGACTCGGCCACCGCCACCCGGAATGCCGACCCTAGCGGAAAACTGCGCGAGCCATCTTTAGGGATGGAGCGCACCGAACGCTACGCGCCATCGGACCAACCCAGCGGAGTAGTCACTGCCCACTCTCCCGATGGCCACGTGACGCTCACACGGCGTTGGATTGGTTCCGATGGTTCGTAGCCTGCACCGCGGTTCGTTGTATAGGGGGGAAATGGAGGGCGACCCGCTTCGTGTGCGTACGTACGTGTGGGGACGAACTGTGCACGCACAGGAGGGTCCTCTTTCGACGCGAGGAATTCGGCACTGCTGATAAGCGCATTCCGAGTGCGGGCGACTCTGAAATCCCCAAATGTGCAGCGTGTGCTGCGGGCTGCTGCTTGGAGAAAGCAGCCGGCTCGGGTTACCCGTATGTACGCGAGTGTTTTGGGTACCGTGTGAAGAGGATTTCGCAGAGTTAAGGGGATTTTCTCGAATTTCCCCGGGAGCTGCTGTTCGAAGCTCGTTTAAATGGAGTTAGGTTCGGATGGAAGTAGGTAACATTGTAGGGCGAACTATTTCAAAGAGGGAATCTTCTAAAAAAAGAAGAAAAAATTAGTTATGTTTCTTTTTCTTCTTGTTCGTGTGATGTTATTGGAGTTTCGACGGAACAGCCGAAAATAGTAACTTTCTTTTCGTAATGGAATGCTATAAGCCTATATAGGGCTCCGAGGTTCTTGTTCGTAAGCTGGTTTTACTTCTATGATGACATCCGATGTCGACAGCTCGCTGCAGCGCAGAAAAATACGCAGCAACAGTATCGTTAATAAAGGCTTTCGATGACCAATCAAATCTCGAAGAGCTCGAGCCGGGCGACGTTGTTTTGCTTGCTCCAGCGCAGACATGAAGAGGAAAGGTCGTGCCATAAGATGGCCTGGTGTCATTATACTCATTGAGCTGTGACAAAAACAAGTCCCCCTCAAAATCCCACTTTTTGTGGCCGCAATGATACGATCAGAGAACACAGTTACTGCTCCGCTTTTGTGTCGTTCTCCCCTCCCTAACCCGCACGTGCGGGGGTGCGAGGAGAGGCGCTTACTGGACGGGCCGCGTTCTTCGCAATGCCTCGCAAAAGGAAAGCGCGGACTGGAAAGAGAAAATAGCTCAACAGAAGCGGCCATGCACCGAGTGGAGGATACGACTATGCTCGACGTGCCAAAGAGACGTCGGAGGAGCCAGAGTGACGTTTGGCTAGGAATAGAAAAGACGGGCAGGCTCATTCTGCTGCAACACAAGGTTGCCTGAATCCAGTCGATTTAGTCAGTGGAACATTCATAGCCTTTATAAAATAGAAGCAAGGTTATCGCATTTTGACGTTGTCGGCAGCAAAACACAACAAAAAGCCAGCAAATGTGAATATTGTCAGGTTTATCGAAGGTCGCCTTGACCGGGGAACGACGGGCAGGCAGGAACGATCCACCAGACGACCGTTATGGTGAATTCCGCTCGCAGATCTCGAGCGCTCCAAAAGTGCTCCATTTGGAGCGCGCATATTCCGCTCGCAGATCTGGCTCAAGTTGGTCATCTTCCGCTCGTAGATCTCTGGCAGCGCCCGCTCCACGGAGCGCCCCAAACTCCGCCGAACTTGCTCTGCGGGATTTCACGGATCTCTCCGGAAGCTGACAGAGCGGCCCACGTGATTTCCGTCTAAATCGGCGGTGCGCATGCGCGGCGAGGTTGGAGAGATCGGCGGGCCGGTCGGGTCGTGGAGTTGGATCTGTACGGGTGCGTCGGTTGTTTACTCTGGATTGTGACGGCTCGAACGCTTCTACCTCGCGTAGATCAGGGATAAAAAGCCGGGAATGTGGAGCGTGGCAAATCGTAAGCGCTGACGTCTGTGATCGTGAGAGGAAGAACGAGAAAAAGAACGACAGAAAAGCCGGAGGCAGACGCAAGGATAGGCCTATTCATTATGCAGCCAGTGATTGTCTACCTTTTTACACTGCATTCCGTCGGCGTTTTCCCGTGAAATAAAGCAAGCAGTGGTTAGGCAACGACCGCGAAAGTGATGGTTTGTTACCTCTGTGTTTATTAAAGTCGTACTACAAATCTGAACTCCACCGCTGGCAATCGCTGTCCGTGCCCCGCCGCTTCAAGGCGGCCGAAAGGTATGTGACGGTGCCGAACGCGGACGTCTTCATTATTTGTGACATGGGCGCCACGGTAAGTATAATTTCGCCCGGCCTGTGTCGCGTGTTACTTCTGCAGCTAAGCAGTGACAGTCGTCACTGGTCGTCGGAAAGATCAGCCGGCTGAGGCGTTGGTGGGACTGGTCAACTTCGAGCAGGGCGGCCATTTTGTACGGCGAAGGGAGAAGGGGTGGGGAGGGGTGTGGGGGAGGTCGCTCCAAAAATGCAAGTTTATCTTCCCCTCGACGATTCGGAGCGGGTCCCACGGAGCGGAATTTTGCCTCCCTGGCGGATTTTGGAAAGCGCTCCAGATCTACGAGTGGAATTCACCTTTAGATAGCTCGATCCAAGCTGGTCTGTCTCGCGCTCTCTCTGCCCGGTCCGAGCACGCGTGCGCTCAGAGCGCGCATATAGATAGTAGCTCACAGCTTCGGCTCGCTCTAATTGGCGCCTGTAACAATACATATTTTTGATACACGTTATGTGTTGTAAGAACGCTGACACCCCCCTTTATTTTTAGTTTTTTAGCCGATCTTTTCCTTTTTGTGTG